TATCAACGAGATACAATGACCAAAATATCACATTTGGATGGTGTGGGTGGAAGGCTACACTGAGCATGAATTGTCGACCAAATACTTGATTACATATGGTATAGATATGTATGTATCGTACCCTGGCGATTATGTTGTGGTTCATCTGATGACCTTTTTTTTTTTTGCTGCGAACGAACAAAGGAACATTAAATTTTCATTATAATTGTGTGTATCTCCAGGATTAAAGAAATGCTATGGGCACTAATAACGTCGTGTATTTCACATGCTACCTTTGAACATCATATTTTTATCTAAAAAGAACATAACATATATGTACGGGATATATATACCCTCAATGCACTGCCAATTGTTATTTCTATGCGAATCTTGGCTTCCCAAGCCGCTGAATTTAGCCTCGCCTATTACTATTGGTAAAACAGGTATCGACTACTTCTTTGTGTCTCTTGAAACTTGGTTGTGCCCCGCCGACTCTTCCGACATTGGCATCGCATCCGAGCAACCATTCAGATTTCGAATATCTCCGACTTTCACCTTCCGATCGCTAATCCTCCTGTGTCAACATATATCTTTGGCGCAGATTTGAAAGAAAGATAACAATTACCTTATTCTATATATAATTCCCACTCCCCGTTAATCAATCAAAATCGCGAAATTAAATAAATCATTAGACAGTTATAAATAAAATTTACTGCTAGCGTAACATCCGCCCTTCTTTCAAGAGACTCACTCGGGTTACGCTGGCAAATTCTTGATTGCCGACTTGCTGATTTTCACCTCCCTTCCTCCTTATTGCTGCCAATGACTGCAAACGCATGCTTTCCGTTATTTACGCACCCTTACTAAAGGTAAAATTGTCGATATCTTCTCTCGGTCATTCAATTGACTTTTTGTCTCGTACCGGAAAATCCGTAAAATCCGTTCTAAAATGTATCTATCTACATACAAATCATTCTTATTTATCATTGCGTATCCGACTTCCTTTTTATAATGAATAGATACAATACAATACAACAGCTTACGTACTTTTTTATTGACGACCTAATCAGATCAAAGAAAAATGGTCACATAGTCATAGTAGTCATCATTCATTCGTCACAGATCTATCGAAAATTATATATAGAAGGCTAAATCGTTCGATTTTTTTTTTTTTCTTCCACAGCTTTTATCAAAAGAAAAAAAAAACTCTCGGCTGTTCGTCTGTTTTGCATGTAATATCTTTTATTTGTAATACTTCTTGGTTGAAATATTTTTCTTCCCCCTGTAATATTTCTTGTACATGTGTCAGGGTTTGTATGCTTCATTTCCGTGCTCTTGAAATTATTTCTTTTCTCACTATAATTGGTCCTTTTTTTTTTTTTTTCCACCAGTTCGCACAGAAAAAACATTCTCCAACTTCCTTTTTTTTTCTGGTTGTAAAAGAATTTCCTATGCGATAGGCAATCGGTCTTAATATTATTTCGTAGTGTTATCAATATCATAAAATAAAAACTCCGACTTTTCACCCCCCCCTCCTAGGTCCAGGTACCTAATCCACTCAAGTGAACCAAGCCATATTATTATTGCTAATAAAAAACCTCGGGTTATCAATATTTAATAATTCCCTCTTCTTGAAAAAGAAAAAAGAAAAACTGAAGCAAACAGCAATATCTCGTTATTTATTAGGAAGTCCACAGAATCTTCCCCCTTCGTAGTAGTCATTTCCATTTGTTGATTGACTTCACTAATTGCAGGACCCTCAGACCGTCCTTTGTACAATGTCGTTGACCGGAGTTAACAATAATAGTTATAATAATAGTCCTTTTTCCCCTGTAACCCAACAAAGCACCTTTCGTCCATACATTTCCTCTGTGAATTCTGTTATTGAACAAGATTATGAAGGGAGGTCGTCTTATTCAAACGACGAATCTACACTCGAAGACAATATTGGTGGGGTGGGTTATGAAAGGGGCACCGATAGTGAGGAGGAGAATGACTCTTACCCTAATGCCAACACTTTCACAACGACTGAAGACGAGGAGGACGACGACGAGATGGAATGCTCAGAATCGGATTCGGAAGTAGCCGAGGATGATCAAAATAATTCTTCGATACAAAACCATCCGTTTGAGAATGGAAATAACTTTAACAACATTCATCGGAATAGTGGTGGTATAACCAATGGTAATATAATAAACGTAAGCAACCCTAATAATGCCAACAGCAACAGTAACAACAATAACGTATTGCCTCCTATTCAATTACATCCGCCACATTCAATGTCCACTTCAACATTAAACATTTCTACAACACAACCACCAAACAGATCAATTGAATCGGATC